AGAAAAATTATTTCATTGTTTTACAATCCCTCCCCCCAGGTCCACTCCACTATGCAGCCTTCGCTCTGGACTCCTGTCATGACAAAAACACCTAACCACATATCCCTTTTAAACAGTCTTCTCCCTCATCTGTTTCAATGCAGTATACAGTATTGAACCCATCTTTCTCAGTCTCTCCCCAACCCCAAGGTCAGTCCTGTTTTACAACAGTGGCACCATGCAATATTTGTTAGGCTGTTTTCTTTAAAGAAGCAGGCAGCCTCATTTTTCTCCTCTTGAGCAGGTTTGATTTCCTGACCTTCCGGTAGCAAGCAAATGCTTAACCACTACACCACAAAGGCTCCTTGCAGGAAAGGCCTTCAAACTGTTGTTACGTGCTGTCGAGTTGGAACGAGCTCATAGCTGACCCTCTAGTGTGGATTTTAACAGGCTGTAGAATTGCATGAGAAGCTGGTCCACCTTTTGACTTGCCTAAGTTGACAGCACAACTCCTCACTGACTAGGCCATCAGAGCTCCAATTCCCTTGGAACTACATCCTCTAATAAAGACAGGCATTATTGGAAAAACAAGGAACTCATGCAATATTATTCAAAATGAGTCACCCTGGAGGACATTATGCTGAGTGAAATATCTCAGTCACAAAAGGACAAATACTGCATAGTGCCACTGTTGTAAAACAGGATTGACATTACGGATGGGGGGGAGACTGATGGGATAATGTACTGCCTTGAAACAGATGGAGAGAACTGTTTAAAAGGGATATGTAGGGGAGCTCTGGTGGCCTAGTGGCAAGAAGCTGCACTGCAATCCCAGAGGAACACGGTTCAAATCCACCAGACGCTCTGCCGGAGAAGGAGGCGCAATATCCTCCTGTACCAGTCAGATCTGATTTGACGGTACACGCACACAAAATTAAAAAAAAAAAAATAAAATAAAAAAGGGATATGTGATTAGGTATTATTGTCATGACAGGAGTCCAGAATGAAGGCTGCACCGTGGAGTGGACCTGGGGGGAGGGATTGTAAAACAATGAAATAATTTTTCTTTTACTTTTCCAAGAGAAGAGTATACTGGGGGCGGGGGAGGGAGAGGGGAGAAAAGTGCAACAGTGAATGAATGGAAATCCAAAGTCTCTGTAAATTTTAGGGGAGCTCTGGTGGCCTAGTGGCAAGGAGCTGCAACTACAATCCCAGAGGCTCACGGTTTGAATCCACCAGATGCTCTGCCGGGAAAAGGAGGGACAATTTCCTCCTGTACCAGTCAGATCTGATTTGACGGTACACTCACACACAAAAATAATAAAATAAAAAAAAAAAAACAAAACAAACAAACAAAGTCTCTGTAAATTTCATTAATTAAAAAAATAAGACAGGTATTCTTGGTCCTCCCCTGTGTCATCTCCCTCTCAGGGCAGAGGTTCCTCAAGGCGGAAGTTCTCTCTAGGGTCATTCCTCTCTTCCTGGAGGTCCCGCTTGCCTGGGCCTTCTGTCTGCGTGTGGACGCTTCACCTTACACATGCGCACAGGTGAGGGGTTGGTCAGAACCTGATGCTGATGTGGGAGGCGTAGGTTACTCTCGGAAGGCCTGGGGGTTCCGGTGGCCGCTCCTGTGGTCCCTCCAAGGTGAGGACGCCCACCGTGCTGGAGGCCACAATCATAAGCACAGCTGCCTCTGACAGTCGCTTATCAGATGAGGATGTGGATATGTCTTGTCCTCGAAGAACCATTCAGAGATGTGATTACATATCATTTCCCTATCTTTGGCTTAAGCTCAAAAACTAGGGCTCCAGACTCTGAACCCCCACCCAGCTCCCCTTTCTGCAGACACCACATAGTCTGATTTCTGTCTTCCTCCTTTTGCCCCCCCAGATCTAGGAGTGCAGCCCCTAACCGCTTCTCTCTGAGACCCAGGAGTCCTGACCCAGCGCCTCCTCCTTCAGACCATCCCATCTTCCTCAGATTCAGGAATCCAAACTCGTCCTCCCTCAAACCCAGCAGTCCTGACCCTAGACCCTCTACCCTCAGACAGATGACTTCCAGCTCCCCTTCCCCTCCAGACCTGGGAGTCCAACCCCCATCCCATCCTCTTTTAGACCCAGGAGTCCTGGCCTTCCACCTCCTATCGTTGGGGTCCACTGTCCCAGAGCAGAAGCTTGCAAAACCCACAGGAAAACATGATGCAGCCTAAACTGCCCCCTCTGGCCACATTCCCCCTCCCACTTCGTTCACATCCTGGCCCCGTTCACCATCTCTAGGCCTCCAAGTCCCCCCCCCCCCATCTCTCTCTTTCCTCTTCCAGGAAACCATCTATTGTGTTGAAGATTCTGAACCAGTAGACGGGTGGGCAGAGAACCTTAGACAAGAGGGAGGCAAGTTCAAAACCACCACCCAAACCACTCATCTTTCAACACCCTTTAGTGCCCTCCCCCATCACACCCGCTTTGGGGGACCCAGAAACTGTGAGGGGAGGACTTAGGCCTATGGGGGGAAGCAGGAAGGGTGGTTGTGTGAAAAGAGGTCCACGAGCAGGAAACGGCATGAAACCAAGTCACCCTCCTTTACCGAGCCCAGCTCGCGCAGACGCCCCTGCTATTTGTCGACTTCTTCTTCTTCTTTCTTCAGACCCAGGAGCCCAGGCTCACACAGCCTCTTCCTAAGAGAATCAGCACACTTGGACCCCTGACTTCTTCTTCTTCCTCTTCGGGACTCATCACCATGGAGCCTTACATCTCTCTGGCCCTGCTTGCTGACTTATCGGGCCTGGTGACCAACCTGGTTTCTCTGAGCACAAATTTCTGGGTGGAGGTCATGGGACCTGGCTTTTCAATTCACGCAGGCCTCTGGCTAGATGGCCCGGCGGCAGGTAAGGAGGCGTGGGCTCTGTCTTCCCCTGTTTGGTGAACCAAATGTTCTTCTGGCTTTGACAAACAGAAGTATATTGGTGTGTGATCCTGGAGGCTCTTTTTTTTTTTAAATTTATTTTATTTCATTATTTTTTTGTGTGTACCGTCAAATCAGATCTGACTGTACAGGAGGAGATTGTTCCTCCTTCTCCAGCAGAGCATCTGGTGGATTTGAACCGCGCACCTCTGAGACTGTAGTTGCAGGATTCTGGAGGCTCTTTGTAGCTACTGTTGACAGACTCTGACGCACGGAGACCGGGCACACGACAGAACAGAGCCCCTCTGACCCTGGCCCGTCCTCCCAATCCCTCAATTGTTGCCGTCATGGCGGGAATCCATCTCCTTGAGGTCTTCTTTTTTCTTCCCTCACCTTTACTTTTCCAACTATGTAAATTCAAAGAGCCTGGTAGCATTATGTTTTATGCATTGAGCTGCTCACCAAAAGATCAGTGGTTCAAATCCACCAGCTGCTCCATGGAAGTAACACAGACAGTCACGAAGAGTCAGTCACAGGGCATCTGGCCAGAGGGTCATGAGTGAGGACTGACTCAAAGGCGGTTGATTTGGGTTCAGAGTTTCAGTGTTGGGTTGCTAAGGGTTTCCGTGTTGGTTCCGTGGAAGAAAGATGAAGGTGTTCTGCTCCTATAAAGATTTACAGGTCTTGGGGATCCTATGGGCCACCTCCATCCGGGGGGTTTGATCGAACTTGATATCAGGGGTTGATTGAAACACATGGTGTCAGTAGAACCAGGGTCCCTCTTAGGGCTTAGGACACGGCTCTTTGTGGGTATATGTCCACACAGTACCAGTACCGATTCTTCACATTCCCCCAGTGCTCCTTGGAGGCAGAGAGGGAGAAGCTTCCTTTCTCCTGCGTTGGGCATATTACTGTTTTTGTGTCCTGTCGAGTTGAGACAGACCCTTAGCAGAATTTCCGGCAGATTTTCAGAGGCGGCTCATTGGTACGGGAGGAGATGGGTCCGTCTTCCTCCTGCAGAGCGGCTGGGGGATTTGAACCGCGTGCCTTCGGGATTGGAGTGCAGCTTTGTACCACTCTGCCTTGGGAAGGGACATCGTGCTTGGAAAAGCAGAGGGTCAGTGGAAGAGAGAGAGAGACCCTCAATGAGATGCGTTGACCCAGATGAACAATGGGCTCGAGTACGTCAGAAATGACAAGGAGGGCACGGGAGAGGACAGAGTTCAGGTCAGTTGTTCACAGGGTTGCTGTGAATCATACAGGACTCGGTGGGCCCTAACGACAACATGTGACTGCTCTTCTGTGGCTCAGGCATCACTGGGAGGATATTAGGACCCACCCAACTGCAGTGGCCTAGTGGGTAGGGAGTTACTCTGGCAATCCGTGTGCAGGCAGTTCAAGTCTCCTCATGGGAGTCTCCACAGGAGAAGGATGGGTAATCTCCTCTTGTGCGATTTATACCCTCTGAAAAACCACTGTGTGTGGGGATGAGGGGTCAGGTCTGGCTCTTGGTTCCAATTCAACGGCACATGACAACTCTGGTCTGACCGCGTTCAACCAAACCATTCGCCTTCCGGTGGATTCTAGTAGGATGACTCATCTATTGCAGAACAGAGCTGGGCTCCATAGCATTTTCAGCACCTGCAATCTCGTTGGCTTCCAAAGTGTCTCCAGGTGGATCCAAAACACTAACCTTCCAGTTCATAGGGGCCACGCTTAACCATCCGTGTCACTCAGGGGCTCCACAGCCCTCGTTAACGGAGACGATGTCTTCAAACCAAGTTCCCATTTGCAAACAAGATCATGTTCAGAGGCACCAGGGGTTAAGATCTCGATGTGTCTTTCGAGGGGGGAGTGGGATGCAAGCAAGCCAACCCACGGTGGGCTCTCTTGTGAGCGAATGGCCCATGGGGACAGACCCTCAGAGGTCCCTTCTTCGCACAGACTTCATCCGTGTGACACAGGCCTTCACCATCATAGCCGCGTTGCTCGGGCTGGTGTCGTTAGTCATGCTTCTCTGGCACTACATCCCCTGGCTGATTGCCCCGGATCGTGTCCTCATGATCTCCGCCGTGACAGCCTTATCTGCAGGTGAGGGTGCAGGGCTGGGCTGGTCTGGTCTTGAGATTTGGGGGTGGGGGGGCAAGGACAGGAGCTCAGCGAGCTCCTACTCAGCTGTCTCTCTTCTCCTTCTCCTCCCCAGCCTCTTCAATGTTAGTGGCCATGTCTGTGTACACCGCTAAGCGCTGGGAACAGATTCTACCGCCCCAGATCTTCCTCTTCTTCAGCTGGTCCTTCTACCTGGGCTGGGTCTCGAATGCCTTGATCTTCTGTGCAGGTGACCGTCACCCTCTTCTCCCCCCCATCCCCCCCCACCCCAGAGCTTGAGAAGGTCAGACTGGATGCTCTGGGGGTGCAAGGTGGGCCCAAGGCCAACCTCTCTGTCTCTGATCTTCCCAGCTCTCCTGATTCTGTTTGCCCAGTATGGCTCCCGCCGGGCTGGCTATGGCGCTCTGTGAGCGGGAAGACAAGAAAAACAGCATCTGGGGAGCTCTGGTGGCCTAGTGGCAAGAAGCTGCACTGCAATCCCAGAGGAACACGGTTCGAATCCACCAGATGCTCTGCCGGAGAAGGAGGTGCAATATCCTCCTGTACCAGTCAGATCTGATTTGACGGTACACGCACACAAAATAAAACAAAAAAGAAAAGAAAAACAGCATCACCACGCGGAGCTGCGGGCATCCCCCCGCCCTCCACCCCTCACGCCTGCCCTTCCCACTCCTTCCTCTGTTCCTCCCTTCATTCAACAAAAAGAAATTGCTGGGATCTGTTTCCTCACTCATTCCACGCCGAGATGTGGCGATTCCGAGACTCGTCCGGCCCAGACACGAGCCAGCCAGCCGTGGTCAGGAACTCCATGGCGGGTGATCTTGAACTCTGAGAGGAGTCAGAGACACACACTTCCCTCACCCCCAACTGCTTGTCAATGGGGAGACCAGTGAGGACACAGACGTAGCCCAACATTCTTCTCTCGTCTTTACCTTTCCTTGTTTCTGTCCTCCTTACATCTCTGAGGAATCATGGTGACATCAAACACATTAAAGGGCTGATAACTGAAAAGTCAGTGCCTCCAACCTAACAGCTAGGAGGTTTGCTTATGTTAAGATTCACAACCTTGGAAACCTGGTGGGTCCATTCTACTCTGTCCTGTAGAGTTTCAATCCACTTGAGGGCAGTGAGTTTGGGGCTTTGTATTGCTTTGCTGTGTTTTATTTTCTATTTCTACTTCCTTCTCCTTCTGCTTTTCTGTCCTTCTGATCATTGTCTTAATGCATTCCATTCATTCCTTGGTTTCTTGATGGATATTTCCTGAGAGTAGATCCTCTCTTCTGGGTCATACTGGGGACACAGGCATGGGTCAGATCCAGGCACTGCCCACCAGGGACTGACCCCCCCTAGTCAGGAAGGCAGCTGCACACAGAAAAGCAATGAACACAGGCCAGGCAGTGGTCAGACCCCGAAGAGAACACAGTTTAAGTAAAACCAATTAGAGCACAGAGAGGTCACGGTGGTGGTCTCCAGGAAGACTTATCCTGAAGACGGGGAATTTCTGAACTTCTCAAGGGACTGTGGAAAAGTGAGCCAAGTGTGGCTGGCCGTGGTTACTAGTATCAGGAATTCATTCCAACTCACAGTGACCCCACATGTGTCAGGGTGCAACTGTATCCAACAGGGTTTTCAATGGTTGAGTCTTCAGAAGCTTTCTTCTGGCACGCTTCTGGGTAGAACTGGAACCTCTTAACTGTTAAGTCCTTGAATCCCCACCCCCGAAAGATCACCAATTCATGTATGCAATCAGCAAGAGTGCTTTATGTTGCAGAACAAAATCCAGCATACACAGGAGGTCGGCCAACCAGCAGAGCAGAAAAATGGTCCACTCCCGAGTTCCCCTGCTGCATGGACTCTTTCAAAAGCTCAGAACAATGCAACTCTATGCTCAGGAACATGATTGGTGGGCACAGGGATCAGTTACGAGGACTAGTTTGTGATTGGTTCGTTTAGGTGGTAACCCCGCCCACTTTTATTTCTTCCTGCCTTACGTTTACATTCTTCTGGTCTCTGCCCACCCCCATCTCTTCCTGCCTCACATACTCACTTTTTTTGCTGTTATCTTAAACTATAAGATAAGTTAATTTTAAACTTTACAAGGACAGGTAAATAAGACCTTCCTGCTTTCCTGTGGGTCTTTTTTCTTTCTTTCTTTTTTTTTTAAAATTTTTAATTTTTATTTCCTGTGGGTCTTATTTCCTATATTGGCAGTTTCTTAAGCTAGGATTTTTTATAGCCTGTTTGTGATTAATGCATTTTTAAAGGTTAGGCCCAGGTCATGTGTTAGATAAAGGCCAGGCACAAGATGAAATCTATACAGTCCTCTCACTAAGCTTTTGGTCACAGCTGAGCATGTTAATCAAGGCACCTTACCCCTCTCCCCACAGCCAGAGACTTTGGTAATCCAGGTACTTATGAGGGGATGAGAAAGAGGCTTTGTGGCTGGGGTGTAAAATAAAAGGGTGGCACGAAACAAGAATGGAGACATGGTAAGGGCCGTGCTTGAGGGGGACAGTGTCACCCCTGGGTGAGAGGAAGACCTCTCTGAAGGGATGTGGGGGAGGATGGATGTTAGGCCGACTTTGGCAATACAAGAGGAAGAGATCCAGGCCCAACCTGAAATTGAGGCACAAGATGGGAAGAGAGAATGAGTCATACAGATGAAGGGGCAGGAGGAACAGGTCTTGGGGGTCCCAGGATCTTTATAGAGTCAAGGGCAGGGAGAAGGCAAGGGTGGTGGGGCTGGTGTGAGTACCTGGATTGGAGGGACCATTTCTAGTTTGATGGAATAGCTGAGCTGGAGTGCGGTTGAGCTCAAGGGGACTCAAAGGCAACGAGAAAGTGAGGCTCAGGGGAGGAAATCACCAGTGAACTTGAACCTTTAACCTCCTGGTTAGCAGCTTCACCTGAGACTCCGGTAACCCACGCGGCAGTGATGGTTATTGATACTGGGTGTCTTTGAGTCAACAAAGATTCTTAGAACAATAGATTTAAACCTTGCCTTCAGGGGAGCTCTGGTGGCCTAGTGGCAAGGAGCTGCAACTACAATCCCAGAGGCACACGGTTCGAATCCACCAGATGCTCTGCCGGGAAAAGGAGGAACAATCTCCTCCTGTACCAGTCAGATCTGATTTGACGGTACACTCACACACACACACACACAAACAAAACAAAAAACCAAAAAACCTTGCTTTCTCTACATCATCCTCATAATCTGGACCAGAGTTGCAGTCACTGTATCAGCTCATCTCATTGAAGGTCACCCTCTCTCTCTGGTACTCCCTTTGCCTTTTTCAGTAATCCAGGCAGGTGAGACCAAAGGCTGAAGATAGGGTTTTAGGATAAGTGCAATTGAGCTTACCTGGTAAGAGGATACAGGATGGACCTTCAAGGAACATCAACAGTTAGACGAGGAGGGGAAGTGGAGGAAGAGCACGGATGAAGGAACTTCAGACACACAGGCCCAGGGAGCTTGCAGGGGTGCCTCTAAAACAGAGAGAAACTTCTAGAAGGAAGAAATGTTCTCCCATGGTATGACCGTCTGGCTGCTAGGAGAGGAAGGTTCTGGAACTTCTGCTGCCTCACAGAGACCCAGCCTCCCTCCCCCCACCCCTTCAGATGAGTGTCGGAAAAGCCCTGGGGAACTGACTGTGAGTCAATTATGTGGGTGGATGGGTGGGGTGCAGAGTGGGGAACAAGGGGGCTGAAGGGGGAACCTGTTGGGGGAGCCTTATGGAATCTAAATAGGTTCTTAAGCAGGATACCTAAGGGAAAGATGTGTTGGGCAAAGGGGAAAAAGGGGGTCTTTGCTTCCCTGGGGGATCTGACACATAGGAAGAATAAAGGGGTTCCCATGAATAAAGGTTTCAGGCAGGGAACATTGTACCCATCACACATACCCACGGCTGCCAAGGAGATTCTGACTCTGAGTGGCTCTCAGGGACAGAAAAGAGCTACCTCTCAGTTTCCAAGGTTGTAATATTTGCAGAAGCAGACTTACACCTCTTTCTCTAGAACAGGGGCTGCCCAGGGATTTGAACTACCAACGGATTGGTTAGCAGTCCAGCGTTTTAACCACTTTGCCACTGGGCTTCCCTGGGTATTAAAACCCCAAATCAACTGCTCAGTGGAGTCAATTACGACTCACAAGGACTCGCCAAAAAGTAGCTGGTGTGTTCGAACTTCTGACCTTTCTGGCAGCATGATCTGCTATGGGACTAGGGCGCCTTTGGAGGGTTGAGGTCCCTGAAACAGGGGTGTCGAGGGGGGAATCAGGCAGTGAGAGGTGTTAAGCAGAGAAGGAAGGGGTTAGGGGAGAGGTGAGAGGTGGCTTCAAGCCAGGGTGTGGAGTGGTGTGTGTGGGGGGGGTGTCTTGGTCAATATCACGTGTTGCCGGCCAGCAGCCTCCCGGACATGGGGGTGAAGCGGTGTCTTCAGAACGGAGGAACCCTGCTCAGCCTCTTCGGCAACATCCTCATGGTGATCTCCCTTTCCACCAACTACTGGACCCGCTACCCCGGAGGCCACAGCGGCCTGTGGCTGGAGTGTAAAAACGGAGACTGCAATGCCATCCCCTGCCAGAGTGAGGCCCCGCCCCTGAGAATGCAAACCACGCCCCTTGTAGAAACCCCGCCCCTTATGACAGCCCCGTCCCCTGGTGGCAGCCCCGCCTCCGCTGGTGGGCAGCGCCCCCCATCCAGATCCACCAGTGGGGTGCCCACAGGAGCTGAGTCCCCACCACCTCCATCCCCACCTTCCATTCAACCTCAGACGCACCTGCCCCTCTACAATCAAGATCACCACAACCACTCCCCAACCCCAATTATGGATTCACCTTTCTTGTCACAATGACCTCCTGGGGCGACATGCCCAACGTCTGATCCTGGGCAGGGAGGGCAGGAGGTCCCAGCCCAGGGCTGGCTATTTGAAGGGACTCTCGCGGGGAGCTGATGTGGTCCCCTCTCCCCAGCCATGCTGGCCATGACGGGGGCGTGCATGGTGCTGGCGGCAGGCTCTGGCGTCGTGAGCATGGTGATGGGGCTGCACATTTTGTTCCAGGAGAGGGAGTCTCCGCGGGGCCGGATGACCAGTGCCATCTTCTTCCTCAGTGGTGAGCCTGCAGCTGAGGATGGACCTGGGCAAAGGGGCGCGGGGGAAAGTTTTCAGAAGCAAGGCCAGAAGAAGAAGGGGAAAAGTCAGGGTCTGAGTTCAGAGGAGAGAGCAGGAAGGGGGCAAGACGAGGGGCGTGGCGAGGAGAGGGGGTGGCCTGAGTGCTGGGGCGGGGCTTTGCACTGAGGGCGTGGCTAGGAAAATGGGTATGGCCCAGAGCCTAGTGATTCAGAAAGGGGGTGATCTGAAGCAGAGGAGAAGGGTAGGGGCGTGGCAGATCTGAAGATTAGGGGGCGAATACTGAGAGGGCAAGGATAGAAGCGTGGCTGAGAGGACAGAGATGTGGCCTAGAAATTAGAGGGCGGGGTCTGAGAGAAGGGGCGGGGACGGGGCGTGGCTATACAGTGAGGGTGTGGTCTGAAGCTAGGAGGCGGGGTGAATCCGTGGAGGGGCGGGGTCTGGGGCTTGCCTTGAATGTAGCTTAGCCTGGCCACGCTCACCTGTCACCTGGTGTGTGTGGGGGCCAGGGCTGCTGCTACTGATTGCAATGATCGGCTACTCGGTGAAGGATGCATGGAAGTCCGACGTCTTCTTCTCCTGGTCCTATTTCTTGGGGTGGCTGGCTTTACCCTTTTCTATTCTCGCGGGTAACTGGGACGGCGGGGTAGAGGAGACAGCCCAGAGGAGCCCTCACCCATCCACCCAGACACTGCCATCCTCCCAGGAGACCCCTCAGCTACTTCCCAGCGACCCTGACCCCGACCCCAGAATTCCATTCTCGATTCCCCTGGACCCCAGAGAGATGCCCTCAGAGCTGCAAAACCCCCTAACCCGAGGCCCCTCCCTTTACTCGCTCCAGGACCCACCTCCCTTCACCCGTTTCTCTCCAGGCTTCTGCTTTCTGCTGTCTGACATGATTATGCAAAGCACCGAAGCCATCAGTGGATTCCCTGTGTGCCTGTGAATAAAGGAATAGCTTTTACCACCAGCTCCCGTGCTTTTTTCTGGGGACCCAAGAACTTGAACATAAAAGGCACCGGAAGCGCCAGCAGAACAAGGCGGGCCAGAAACACTAAGAGCAAAAAAAGAAGAAGGAAAAAAAAGTCCAAATCTGCCATCTAGTGGATTGTGACTTATAGCGACCCTGTAGGATTGTATATAACTTCGTTTATGGTTTCCAAGCTGTGATCTTCAGAGAAGCCAACTGTCATGTCTTTCTCCAGCGCCAGCAGCTCGTGGACAATAGGTCTGGATTTGAGAAGGGACAGGTATAGGGAGAGTGTGACGGACATAGATATGAGGTGATGTGGATTTGAAGGACGATGAGAATAAATGGGACAGGGCGCATGCATGGGGACATAATGACACAGGGGACACGAGATTGGGACAGGAACAAGTGGGCAGGCAGCGCGTGGGGACACAAGCACGGGCAATCATAGGGACACTATTGTTGTTGCTGTTATGTGCCATCAAGTCGCTTGCTACTCATAGCAACCCTATGTACAACAGCCCTAAACCCTGCTCTACCCTGTGCCAATCGCACTGCCTCTGACACACCCATCCCGATTATTCCAGTCACTGAATCAACCCACCTCATAGAGGGTCTTCCCCTCTTGGGCCGTTCCTCCACCCTTCTTAAGCATGATGTCCCTCTCCAAGGACCTGTCCCTCCTTACATGTTCAAAGTATGTTAGACGGAGCCTCAGAATCCTTGCCTCCAAGGAGCAGCCTGGTTTAACCTTTTCCAGGATGAATCTGTTTGGTTTTTTGGCAGTCCACGGTACATTCAACATTCTTCTGCAGCACCGCAGCTCAAAGGCATCAATTCTCCTTCTATCCTTCCTAGTCATTGTCCAACTCTCTGATGTATAACAAGTGATTTCAAAGACCATGGCCTGTATCAGACGCACCTTAGTCTCCCGAGTGACACCATTGCTCTTCAGTACTTTGGAGAGGTCCCTAACAGCAGACTTTCCCATCGCGATACGTTGTTGTGTTTTTTTTTTTTTTTTAAATTTCCTGGCTACTGGTGCCAAGAGTGTTGACCGTGGAGACAAGCGGACTAAAGTTGTTAACAATCTCAATCTCTTCACCATCCGTCCTGATGCTGCCAATTATGACGATAGTGGAGAGCAAGACTGAAGAAGGAACACTCAGGAGGGGAGATCCAATGACTTCCAGAAGAATGTAGGAACATGCGTAGGAATCCCGAGGCCACGCGCTGTGGAGACCTTTCCCCTAGTTCTCGGACACACTATTCACAAAGCCTTTCCCTGGTGGGTCCCGCCTCCCTCATACAGATCCGTATTCCATTGGTCCGCATCCTTCCGCCACGCCTCCTTCCCATCTGCCCTCCTGATTGGTCTTCCGTCAAGGCGGGCAGACAGGCACCCCAGTTGTTAATTGGATGGCTGTGCTGCGCGCAGGCGCAGAGAGGCTCCGGGAACAACAAGCAGGGCTTCAGGGGAGAGGTTTGGTGTGCTGAGTGACCTGCCAGGCGGTGGTGACAGCTGAAAGATGGCGGAGCTGCGTGCGCTCGTGGGTGTCAAGAGGGTCATCGACTTCGCCGTGAAGGTGATCAGGTCCCCCTTCTCCCACCTCCCTGAGCCCCGCGGCCGTGTGCTTCCGAGATCACCGGTGCACAGGGGTCTCTTCGTAACCTCTGACCTCTACCTTCTTCCCGCACACATCAGTGATCACACCTGGGGGCAAAGATCAAGGACTAGGCGATCTTGACATTCGATCCTTCCTCATTCAAATGCTGGATCCTTTGGACTCATATTACTCCCTGCTTCCCTCGCTTCTCACGCTTTTATAACCCGTGTGCTGTACTGTCTATATTGTCAGGCGGCGACTTATTTTGCGTGTTTAACACACGGAGAAACTGAGGCACAGGGAGATCACTCAGCTAGGGACCCAAATTCCTATCCAAGACTCTCTGATGCCGCAACCTATCCTTTGCTTTTACACCAAAATCAAACATTTACCCAGTATGCTGCCTGCCCTACTAAATGGATTTATTCCAGCACTCAAAATGAAAATCATACAGAGCACAGCGGGAACCCAGAGGGCGGCCTTTCTCTGCTAGCCACAGGGTTAGGTAAGGAGATGTGGTGGCTCAGTGCTAAAAGCTCCTTGCTTCTAATTAACAAGTCAGTTTCCAACCCATCAGTCGCTCCACTGGAGAAAAGAAAGAGGAAGCTTTCGCTTTCTGTGAATATCGTTGTTGTGTCTGTGGAGTTGAAACCAACTCATAGCTGCCCCTCCAGCAGGTTTTTGCAAAGAGTTGATTGCCCGTCTTTCTCCTGCGGAGCATCTAGTGGATTCAAACCGTGTATGTTTGTGTTGGCAGCACAACTTCTTACCAGAAGGCTACCAAAGCTTGCTCCATGAAGACTGCAGCATTGGAAATCCTATGGGGCAGATCTAGACTGTCCCATTGGGTCACTAACTGCTTCAGTGGTAGTGGTTTTTGGGTTCTGTATCAGCCATAGGGTGAGTCTGGCTTGAGATAAGAAGAGAGAGTTAAGTGTTAGAGATGACCAGGCTACTGGTTGTTACTGGCTCTTGGGAAGTCAGCCTCTGACTTCCTCTTCCCTCCTTGTGTTTCCTGTTTCCCGTCATCCTTTCACATCCATCTTCCTGGGCAAATGCTACCCTTTTGATCTTGAGTGATTGATTGCTTCTAGGGAGTTTGTCCTTTCTGGTATCTGGCTAAAAGCTGAGACCCTTCCTTGTCTTCTAAAATTTAAGAAAAGGCTGTTGTGTGCTCGCAGGTTGGAACCGACTCACAGCGGACCCTTCAGAAGGTTTTCAGAGCCTGTAAATCACATGAGAGGGCACTGCCCAACTTTATCCTGAGAAGTTTAGGGGATTCAAATGTTTTTGCATTTCTGTTGCCCGTGAAACTCTTCACCACAGGCCCTTTAAGAAAAGGCTAAGAGGTGGTACCTCTAAAAGCATAGCTTGTCCCTGGAGAGAGCTAGGTCTGCACAGAGGTGAATCAGTCCCCAGTGTTAGCGTTTCTCAGGACTTAAGCCATACGGCGTGCAGTAACTGTTGCTGTCTCACCTATCAAACTGGGACCTTGCTTCTGTGCCCCCACCATGACACAGCGCTGGCCCTGAATGGATGAGTAGCCACAGAGTTGATGCCAATATTGACACAGCCCCATGGAGCGGTGATGGGCTGGAGAGAGAGCGATCATAACACCTCCTACTTCAAGGGCCCTTTCTAGGTCCAAGAATGTCGCAGAGGAGGGAGCTCTGGTGGTCTAGAGGCAAGAAGCTGCACTGCAATCCCAGAGGTGCTCAGTTTGAAGCCACCAGACGCTCTGCTGGAGAAGGAGGGACTATCTCCCTCTGTACTAGTCAGATCCGATTTGACAGTACACACACACACACACACACACACACACACACACACACAAGAATGCCCCAGATGGCTCCCTGTCAACTATGAGCGCCGAGGTTGGCAGTCCCAGTGCATTCAGCAGTGCCGTAGAAGAAAGGCTTGGCAGTCTGCTTCTGTGAAAGTTCCAGCCTTTGAAACCTCCCAGAGCAGTTCCACCTGGCAGAACAGATGAGCAAGGAATGGCCAACAGGTCAGCTCTGACCCTGGGCGACCTCACGCGGATCAGAGCAGACCTGTGCTCTCCGCTGTGCTCCGTGGAGTTTTCGGAGGCTGATTTTTCCCCAAGCTGAATCACCAGGACTTTCTTCCAAAGGCACCTCTGGCTGGACTCGAATCCCCCACCTTTGTTAGCAGCTACATGCAGTGACCGTTTGCACCACCCAGCGCCTCCCTCAGTTGTAGTTGTGTGCCAACAAGTCGGAACCGACTCATAGCTGACCCTCCAGCCGTTTCAGAGGCTGTTCACTGCACCAGAGGAGACTGCCTGTCTTCCTCCTGCCGAGCAGCTGGTGATTGTGGTGTCTCTGGGTTGGTAAAGCAGCTCCCTACCCATTAGACCACCAGACCTCCCTGGGCCTTCCTCTGGGTGTTCTAAATCCCATTATACAGATGAGCAAACTGAGGCTGAGCGGCTCCATTACTTGTGAGATCCACCAGGCTCATACGGGGCAGAGCCAGGACTTTTTTTGTTTGTTTGTTTGTTTGTTTGGCCCCTGGTGGCTCTTCACATTTGCCCTGTGCTGCCATTTGGCCTATGGACACGGCTGGCACCACTGGACAGGATTGCTCCCTCCAGTCTTCTGGAGTCACGCCCCTCCTCTGGGGATCCTGGGGCCCTTACTCTTCTGATTTCCTGCTGCCTTTTTATTCTCAAGGCCGCTCCTTCGAACCCAGACAGCCCCCTGCACCTCCCTTTGCCTTCCCAAGCCGAGGTGCCTCTAGTTCTATCCGTTTCCACTCAGCCGAGGGCAAGCCTGATTCCACTCTGTTCTGGGTCTCAGCCACGCCCAGCACACGTTCAATTTGATGCCGCCCAGTCCATTCCAATTCACAGTGTCCTCATGGAACAGAGTCTACCTGCCCCATAGCGTTTCCAAGGCTGTGAACCTTTACAGCAGGAGGCTGCCTCATCTTCCCCCCTTGGAAACCTTAGCAGGTTCAAACCAACAACCTTTTAGTTAGCAGCCGAACACGTAATCCATTGTGCCACCACCAGTGCGCCCCCTTATCCTAATGATCTTGTTAAAATGCAGAGCCTGTTTCAGCATATCTGGGGTCACCCTTTGCTGTTTAGTCAGAATTGACTTGGAGCGATCTTCCAGCAAGTTTTCAGGGGCTGTAAGTTGAACAGAAATTGAATGCCTATCTTTCTACCTCAGAGCAGCTGGTGGATTTGAACCGCGTGACTTTGGGTGGACAGCACAACTCCTTACCCGTGAGGCCACCAGAGCTCCCTCTAGCTAGAGTGGAAATGCACTTGGACCAGAACGAACCAATTTGACCAGTGAGACCCCCGGCCTCCTGCCTGGTCTCTAGTTGTACGTGTTCAAA